GAAACGTGGCGAATGATAGAGAGAGCGAATTTGAACTAGTCTTTCTGAAATAAGTTATAACAAAGAGTTTACTGATGAAGAGACGACTGATGAAAAATCTAAAAATAGCCTCGTCTATGAAAACGCCGTGACGCGCAGGCACAATAATATCGTACTAAGAGCCCATCCAGCGCTGGAAGGGAAGGCATGAGACTAGCAATGGGCTCCTGCAGTATTAACTTATTTTAGTATAAACATACTAATGGTCTATCACTCATACTGCACTGTGATTGGCTACTCTACTAATGGTCTAATTTGTGCGGGAAAATCAAAATCTCATTGATAAATTATTTTAAGGATATTTCAATTTGTTTTCATTATTTGACCGATTAGTATGTTTATACTAGACCTTGAGGTCTAATTGTTAACTAGTAATAATTATTAAATATTACAAGACTTACTTGTTTTCAGTGTTTGGCATTGCTGTCCAGTATAGTGTTTGGTACATTGACACGAGAACGAGGCATTACTAAAATCAACACTACATTTCCCATCATTCTTGCAGGGCTTTTCTACCAAACATGGATTGTAATCTCTCTCAAGAATMTCCATGTAAAAACTGTTTTCCTCGAAGATCAAATCTTTTTTTGCAAACAGCTTAGTGTTGTTGTTGTGCTCGCAAAGCTGASTTTGCTTGTTATAGTTGATACTAAAACATTTAGTGTTTTTTGCGCATGACACTGTGCAACTTGCTGCTGAAATACCATGAATTGTATCGATCACGTGGTTTATTAAGCGATGGTCGGGATTAGCGTCAATATTTCGACATTTCTGGCTGATTCCTTGCTTGACGACCAAACCAAGAGAAAGAAGCACAGTCAAGAAATGAATATTTGACGTTTTCATRATGAGCTGAAAAAAGAAAACGAGACAAAGATTGGTTTTCAAGGTCGGTGGGTTTCAAAAAAAAAAATAATGGTTTAATTACAGTATATCCACCAGGTGGTTCTTCAACTGTGAAGCAACTCACACACTGTACCTCAACATTAACTGTTTTAGCATACGACACTCCTCACAGCTAGTTTTTGACTGAGGGAGGAAAACCAGCRKWCMTGGAGAAAAACCCTCAGAGCAAGGAAGAGAACCAGCCTACAAACTCAAATCACGTATAGTCCTGGACCGTCGATGGACCGGGAAACGAACCAGGACCACAGCGGTGATAGACCGGCGTTTTTTTCCTTCTGATAGCTCTGGTAATTTTTTATTTTTTGTAAAATCCCTGTTCATAGAACAGATGACCTGCTAGTTTAAATGTGGGATACGTCATCATATACTTGTAATGATATCAAAAGAAAAATTAGTGCATCTTTTCCCAAATTTTTTTTAGCAATAAAAATAAAAATGATCAACATTTCACCGAATAGAATTTTCTAATTTTTGAAATTATTTTAGCCAACTCTCCCACAAAGATTGACTTACACGATGCTAACTTTAACCGGACCAACATTACGACAAGAAACATGTCTTATTGTAAAAAAAACATAGAACAGTCAATTTTATCCCAGAAAATCGGACAAATTTTGACAAAAACCGGAGCATTTTAAATTAAAACTGTTGGCTAAGAGGCCTCCTGTGCTTCTACAT